ATAGTCAGCTTGATTCTTCAAAAGAGATCACTCGGTAGCTGTCAGATTCTAGACCTCTAAAGGAAATAACTAAAAGACTTTTAATTTTAAGAAAATTATAAAAGAAAACAACCTAAAATTTTATTTTCGATTCAATCAGTTTTTAATAAACACATTTTATATTTTATTGAACGTAACAGATACGCAAAAAACTATTATTATCTTGAATTAGAATCAGAAAGCTTGATCTAAATATAAGGAAATTTTTGATAGTTGCCATATAAAATGAGTGAAAATTTTTTCAAAAATTTATTTTTAAACGCTTTCAGATATCTGAACTAAGAGCATTATGAATTTCATTGTCCATTTATCATATAGCACTACCTCTCTTTAGTATATGTCTAAATGTACCATTCTATCTAACACAAACAAAGATATATACGTTTGCACACTACACAAATTAGCAAAAAAAAAAATGCATTTAAGAGTTGCTACCTTCTAAACCGGTTGCGATATAGACCTGTTGTGGACCAATTTTCCTTCTTAATAACAAAAATCTACACAGCGATAAACGCGAATTCATCGCTGTAGGGAATACTCTGTATGTAAGAAACATATTAATCCTGCTAATCATAATTTTAAAAAATTTTCGGAAAGCTTAAATTTACATGACTTAATAAATCAGTAGTTTAGCAAAGTAACTGAAAAACTTATAGTAAATTCAGACCTAAGTCTTCTTTTTAAAAAATTTTTTTAAATATAATCCAAAAGGAACTCGAAAAGAATCATTTTTTCTGTATTGAAAACTTGTATGTATGTGCGCTTATTCGACTTGATTTCCTATAAATTTCACATTGTAAAACAAAAAAATTGTCTTATTGTTTGAAAAAGCTAATTTATATCTTATCATAAAGATCACGTTCTTGCATTAAAAATGTCAAAAACATAGAGCAAAAAAAAAGAAAGAAAATAACTGAAATAACTTAAAAAATCAAAAATAAATGCAAAAAATTAAAGTTACAATGAAAATGAGTAGAAGAAAAACAAAAATGAAAAACAAATGTTCTATATAAAAATTTTCCAAGTATTTTGAAAAATTCTTCTCTTCTCTTTTATTTTCTTTGAGAACAAATCAAGAATGAAAAAAAAATTTTCGCATAGAAGAAAATAGAACGAACACAAGTAACACACCAACTTACATGACGTTATGTAATTTATTGTCTGGAAATATCTCGTTTGAATTTATTATACATGTAAAATATATATATATATATATATATATATTTATACATGGTATGTAATATTACACATTTATATATAAAATATTGTTCAATAGATAGATAAATTCCATATATTCTATTTAGAATTGAATAAATATGCAATAAAATCATTTAATTTTTTTTTCTCTCCTAAAAATGAAATTTATTCAGAAAACGTAAAATGAAAAACAGTTGACCCTAATATTTTCTGAAGAAAAAATAAAAGAAAAAATCAGTTTGGAATGAAGAGAAAAACTATATGTCTGGAACATTTCCTGGATATTTGAAAATTAACTTAAAAGAAAGACAAGAAAGTCAAAAAGTAAAACTAAGGATATGAAAATTATAAAGATTTACTAAATAAGGATTTCTATATAATAAATTATTACATATTTGATTCTTAGATCGGGGATTTTTTAAATTTCTAAAGGACCAAAACGAAAAATGTTTCCAAGAGAATCGAATGAACCCTAACCACTTTTGTATACGTACGAAGAAAAATAATATTTTTTATCGATTTTTGTTTAAATTCTTTACATACTTGTGGCCTATAGGAATTAACTATCATATGGGGAATGTATAAGTTGATTATAACATTATTCCAACACATAACACCATCCATAAACAAACGTAATGACAAAAATACCTGAAATTTCTTCGCACCCCGAGTGCAAAACTTATCAATATAAGTATAAGCTAAATTATGTTATTCTATTTAGTTACCAACTGATTCTGTAATAGTCAAATTGAATTGCAATAGTCATTGTAATATGAAAGATGTTATATAAGATTTTTTTCAATTTAAATATTCAAATTATCAATTTTAATGGTCACTTTGAGAAATATTCCCAAACAAGCCGATAAAAAGCATTAAATATTATTTCTGTTCTAAATATGGTTGAATTCACATCTGTTAATTGAATGTTCCAGTTTTAAATATATTATTAATACTGCATAATATAAATGGAAGCCGATAAAGTGAAAATTATAATTTTAAACAGAAAAAATTTTTCAGGAATTAATTTACAAAGAAGAAAAATAAATTAATATGGGAATTCTTGCCAAAATTTTAAGGTATAAAAATTGTGTCTACATACATATATACGTATTATAAAGCATACATGTACTAAAGTAATAGTGGAATTAATTTTACAATTATTTTTATACCCGTATGTTCGAGGAATATAATTAATTCGCCTTACCGTTTGTAACGCTAAAAAATAGTGTTCTGATATATAGATATAAATGTATGTTTTTGATCAGCGTTGAGTTCTGGATCGATTTGACCATGTCTGTCCGTCCGCCTCAACAATAAATCAAAAACTAATTCAAACTAAGCTTTCAAATTTTCACACATATGTTTAGTAGTAAATGCCGGAATCCTTTTTAAATTGGATATGATCCAGGTAGTGGTTCGGGTATCTACAATACAAGTTCAAAATTTATTTGGCTACATCTTATAGATGCTATAGTATTGAAATTTCGCAGAAGCAAATATTTTATTAGAGCGGTTATGTTTGATAAAAGTCGTTGAAATTCTAGAATGCTTGCGGTAGCTGCCAAACAATTTGATGAGATGTTTCTTTATACCCCAAAAACTCTTAGCTACAAAAATGAAATTTTGAGCACAGGAATTCGGTGAGGTAGTTATCATTTTAAGTATAACTCATTTTAATTCTGTGGATTTATGAGGTAACTATCATAAAATACAGTAGTATGAAACTGAATGTCAATTATCTGCGGCATTTAAAATCATTTATTCGTAGATGTGTCACAGAGTTGACACGGTCAACTATATCTTTTTTCGCCCTGTATAAATATTTCAAATACTTACTGATGTGCATACCTCGGCGGTGGGGATTAATTTTGTGATTCTTTTAAATTTTGTATTCACATATGTAATGTATATTATGTATATTGTGTTCTGTAACCATAACCTTTCTATTCACCATGGTCTTCTCAACCATCATACTACTATGTACGATGTACACAGTTTTAAAATTATTGGAATATTATAAATATGTATGCATATATTATAATACAAACATGTATATTAAATAGAACAAAATTTTTTCTTAAAAATTTAAAAAAAAAAAACATTTAAATACAAATTTCAATCATGATAAATAAAAAACAAAAATTGAGAGAGAGAAAATAAAATTATACAAAATGGTTTCTTAAAATTATTTCTCTAGGGAAATTTAAAATTACATCATCAAACAAACTTCAGCTCTCTGTACATACATCTATATTTTATAAGAGAAGTAAGAAGAGAAAAAACCAAAAATAAATTAGAAAAATTCAAAAATGCATTCTCATTTTAATTTTTAAATTATTTTTTTATCCAAATTATATTGCAATTCACTTGTGATCAAATAAATTTTTTTTTATTATATAACCGTATTTTAATAGTTATAATGTTGTTTATACATTACACATATTTGTATATATATTCATATAATACATACGTACCCATTAATATGTATGTATGTATGTGTATTATGGGGATGTTTATAATACCAAAGGACATCTTTTATTTTCATTTCAATTTATAATTTTTATGAATATGGCTTTTGTTTTATTTGAAGAGTGTTGACAACACAAGCACATACATTATGTATTATATATATTATATGTATGTGTTTATATGATGTAATATATATGGTTTGTATAAGAGAATATTCCTTGACATTATGTTTTTTGTTTACAAAGAACTATATAAATGAATAAAATTCCGTATATAAATGCTCTGAAAAGTATTATACAATAATAATTACAGTGTGTTCAATGAATTCTTAAGTAATGCAATTTGCAATTTATTTGGAAATATTGGTGAAAAATGGTTACTTAACAAATTTAAAATTTTCGAATTTTTAATTTGAATGAATATTATGTTAAATTAGTTAAGTGAAACTTTTCATTGTCCTTACATATAATCCTTAAGTTTGTAAAGTTTAGTTACACAGTTTAGTTTTGCAGATGACCAATAACTTAAAATACACGTATACTTGGAGGTACTAAATAAGTTTTTTATTCAAAACTTATCTTCACAATTTCACATAAAAATTAATGCACAGTTTTTGGAAATTAAATGCCATTTAGATTCGAATACGTATTAAAAGAAGGGAAAGGAGAAAACTTATACTTAAACAATGTTGGCGTTAATTTGTTATTCTAAATCTCTTCATTAATTTTGAAAATCAAACTAATTTTTGTGATATATTTTAAATCCTAAATTTTATACGATTAACTTATATTTACCTCTCAATCGGAGACAGAATAATTTCTCATTTCTCGTTAGCCCTATTAAATGATTATTTTATTTCTTGGTTTTTCACTTTGTTTTTCAGTGTCTTCTTTGAATACCTATTTAAAAGTATCGCAATAAGTAATAAGAGAAATTCTAGCTCAGGATATAAAAAAATTTCAAACAATTGTAGTGGACTTCACAATATTAGGCTGTATGAACTCATAATATTAGAAATCATGTGGCAACGAAATAGTTTTCCATGACACAAACCTTTGCAATTTTCAAATATGCAAATACACCTTATTCTACAAAATTAAATTTTTGTAAAATAAAAGTAGTTAACAATTTTCACCTCGTCAGTGCGCTTTAGTTTTATACATATACATATGAAATTAAATTTCAACAATAAAGCACTTGTTGGTATATTTAAATAAATCTTTAATTAAAAACGTTTTAGAAAAAAATAACATTCTTTAATTTTTTATTTTCACATCATTTCCATTTTACAATAGAGTCATTTAGAGAAAATTATTGAAAAGCCTAGTAATCAAGGAGCTCTAACGAGGAGACCAAGTAAAAATGTTAAAGTTGAAGAAATAATTGAAAATCAGGTATATTGAATTTATAAAAATTTAATTAATTTATTTATTAAAATTATTTTATGTTTACTTTCTGTTTATTGTTTTATTAACCTTTTATTTTATTTTAATAATTTAGAAAAAGACCAGAGCACGTTTTACTGTATTATTTGAATTGGGTAGAGAAAATCAGGCAGCAAATGTATCACGACCATCTGTTGATGATTTAAATAATTCTACATTAGCTCAAATAGCACAATGTGTTGCATCAACTGGACAAACATTAAATATTGCAGATGTTAGAGAATGGGTACGTGAACATAATCAAATACAGAGTGATTGTGAAATTGATAGTACAAAAGCAATACTATGTATGCCAATTGTTAATGCAAAGAAAATTGTTGTCGGTGTAGCACAACTAATTAATAAGGTAATTATTTACTAATATTAAAATTTTTATATATTTAAATAAAATATGTTGATTGCTCACATTGAAATTCAGATAAATTTATATGGTATAACTTTGAAAGTTTATCTCCATGTTGTTATACAAAACTGACTGTTCAGCATTCCTTAATTCATTTTAACCAATTTTATTTCCATTGAATTGATTTCGGCAGAATTTTTTTCTGTAATTGAAAACTTTATTTCTAACTTTAATTGAATATTCAATTAGAATTTTAAAACTAGTTCGACTATTAATACGAATACAGTGGTGCATTTTCAACCAATCTGCAAAAATGACATTCTTGATTATTTAATTTTTAGCGGTATTAAATAATTGCTTTTTGAGTTAATCTTTAAAGTACTTTCATTCGAGAGAAAGAGGCGAGTAAAATCGAATAAATAATGAGAATATAATAACGAATAAATGAAAGAGATAAACGACTAAAATCTTTAAATTGTTGTTTCACTCTTAATTTCATCAATTTATTCCATTAATTTTTCTCTTTTATTTCGGTTATTAATTTTTAGCACTTTTCCAAAAAATTTTTGAAAAAAAGCGCTTATTAGTTTCACACTGTCCGTCCGTCCTCTCTTTATATTAACCCCTCTTCACATTAATTTTTGCTCTATTTCAAAGACTGCATAAATCGTTCATCCTAAATATATGCAATCATAGAAATAGTTTCGTATATTAATGAAAATAATTTTAATAGTGTGGTAGGTACACATAGACAGTATTTAAAAGCAGTATTTTCACTTGTTTAAGGGAAAAGTGCTACAATACAAACCATTGGTTTGACCCAACTTTGTTAATTGTTCTCTTACAAATTAAGATTTTCATATAAAAGTGTTGGATATTTTTCAAAATATTTAGGATTTTGCCCTCATATTGAGTACGCTCTTAAGCAATATAAAGAATCATTAGAAGCAAATTGAAGAATTTTTCACAACAATCATAACAAACTTTAGTAAGAAAACTAATTATTTAATACGATGATCTCATATGTTGAAATATTTTCAGTTTTGTATATAATAACAAAAATTTATATATGTATGTACAATATACAAATGTACCTTAATAAATTTTATATTTCGGATAGCAGCTGCATGTAAAATAATTTAATAAGATTGATGGAGCTTTTTATTTTCATAATAATTATGAACAACTTATTGTAGACTTGTTCATTCTTACATTGCTTCCATACCCTCTAATAAAATTTTTGACTTTATGTCCTTCAATATAAATTTTTTCAATTTAAAAATTTTACTTCAGTGAACTATTCAAGGAATATTGGTAAATTAGTTTTTTAATTATATTAGCGCTTATTTTAGGAAAAATCGTTTTGATTCAAAATACATATTTCGACCCAACTTTGTAACTAAGAATGGCAATAAAAATTCAATTGGATCAACATGTTGTTCTATGTAAATTTTTGGAAGAATAATTTAATTTTGATCAACTTTTCCACAAATTTTGGCCAATTTAAAGGAAATAATCCGAAAAAATTAATTTGCATTACTTTATTGATCAAATCGACAAGTTCAAATTGAGTTCAAAATTTGTCTTTGGTCTTGCGATTGCAGCTTAAAATTTTAAAATAAATACGAGTACCATAAAGAAAGATTTAATAAATTTTATTAATTTTGTAAATTCTGTTCATATTTTTACCTCTATAGCGAGACAATTTTCGTAATCTGACCCAATCTGAACCTCCCTTGAGCTCTATCATATTCCGTATGTTGACTACTTTCCCTGCATTTGCATATATTAAAGCAAAGCGTGTATTGTTTGTTTTTCACCATTTGAATGGAAAAAACTTCAAAAAACATGATATTTATATTGCTAACTGGAAAATAAAATCAATTAAATATAAAAAAGCAACTTTTACAGGAAATTAAAAAATTTTTTTAGTATACAAAGAAAAACACATTGAGTATTGGATTTGCATTGAATATTGGCTTTTCATTCAAGAAGGACTAACGTTCAATTCCAAATTGTGGAAAGAAGCATATGAAAGTTTAAAGGATTAAATATTAAAATTATTAATACTGATGTTTTTGTATACAGATGTTTAATTTCAGACGATCATAATATTCTCAATAATCCCTGTAAATAACACAGTAAGCTACAGTATATGGTATTCCGATTTTTTTTGTCTCATAGAAAAAATTTAAACCCCAGTCTCTGTTGCTTACTTCCAGAATTGTAATTTTAAAGCTCAAACTATGAACTTTAAATTTTTTATAGTGTAGCACTACAAAAACTCTAACAGAGTCCTTCGAAATATTTTTATTTTTGTAATTATTTAATTTTATAATATTTTATTATCAATTCTATATTTAGCTATTTTAATTTTCTTTCTCCATATTCAAACTCAATTGGGAATATTCGAAAACAATTTAATGAAAAAATATTTTTAAAAGTTTTCATTATTTTTTTCCTGCTTAAAAACAATAATAAAGAAAAAGAAAAATTGAATGAAAAACTTAATACTTATGACAAATTTAAGATAAAAAAAAAATACTTATACATTTCGTCGCGCTCTTAAACTTTTTAATGTGAAAAATTCACACAACACAATTATCACATAAATTCAAAATTTTCTTTCTTTTCTCTTTTGTGTTGTTCATTTTTCATTAAAAAAAAATTTTCACAAAACACAACACAAAACACCAATAAACAATTTATACATTCTTATATTTTACTATACCTCCTTTTTCACTGTAAGGATGTGTGTATATAAGTTCATGTTATATATATATTTACATATAGAAAATTAAATAGTGATAATAATAATAATTGTAAATTATAGTCGATGTGTTGTAATTGCAAAGTGGGTACGTAAGGAAATGAAGGCTCATTAAAAATCTATAAACATAATTTTATAAAAACTACCTTGGGATCAGTAGTATAGGTAGCAAAAGTGTATAAATAAATAAGGATGTCTTCATATACATATACTCAGTATATATAAATACATATGTGTACATAAATATGCACATCCTTTTCTTTGTTGTTTTTTGTTTTTTAAAGAAATTAGAGAAAAACGAGAAAAAAAGTAGAATTGACTTTGTCAACTCTGTGATACCCGTACGAATTTGTTGTCCTATGTGCGAATAACTAATGTGCCATAACTAACTATGGGGCAGACTATGACTTTAAATTGCCGTATTACCATATTAATTTATGCAAAATTTCAGTACTATGTGTTTTTCAAAATACTGGTTGTGCCAAACTACTATTGAAGTTGTATGGCAGCTACCAGAAAGAGCCAAGAAATTTTAGCGAATTTTATTAAGCACATCGGCCCTACTAATATATTCACTTGTGTGAAATCTCAATATCACAGCTTTTATAGTTTCTGAGATATAGCCAAATAACTTTTGAAGTTGTATGGCAGGTACCAGAAGGAGCCAAGTAATTTCAACAACTTTTGTGAGACACATTGGCCCTACTAATATATTCGTTCGTGTGAAATTTCAATACCATAGCTTTAATAGTTTCTGAAATATAGTCAAATAACTTTTGAAGTTGTATGGCAGGTACCAGAAGGAGCCAAGTAATTTCAACGACTTTTATGAGACACATTGGCCCTACTAATATATTCGTTTTTGTGAAATTTCAATACCATAGCTTCAATAGTTTCTGAAATATAGTCAAATAACTTTTGAAGTTGTATGGCAGGTACCAGAAGGAGCCAAGTAATTTCAACGACTTTTATGACACACATTGGCCCTATTAATGTATTCGTTTGTGTGAAATTTCAATACCATAGCTTCAATAGTTTCTGAAATATAGTCAAATAACTTTTGAAGTTGTATGGCAGGTACCAGAAGGAGCCAAGTAATTTCAACGACTTTTATGAGACACATTGGCCCTACTAACATATTCGTTTGTGTGAAATTTCAATACCACAACTTTTATAGTTTCTGAGATATAGCCAAATAAATTTTGAAGTTGTATGGCAGCTACCCGAACCGGTACCCCGATCACGTCCAATTTAAATAGGGTTCTGGCACTTACTACAATAAATCATTTGTGAAAATTTGGTGAACTTAGCTCAATTAGTTTTTGAGTTATCGTTCGGACGGACGGACGGACGGACGGACGGACGGACAGACAAAGCTAAATCAACTCAGAATTTGACGCTGATCAAAAACATACACTTGAGTCTATATCTAACACCGTTATTTCTTAGCGTTACAAACGGTAAGGCAAATTTAGTATACCCTTCGAACATACGTTCGTACGGGTATAAAAAAGAGTTTTTTTCAAAATAGATGCTTGTTACATTTTATAGCACATTGAAAAAATGGTTTTTTATTAGTTTCACTTTGTCCATCTGAAACGACAATGTCTGTACTAATATAATTTCAGCCTTTTATCAAAACAAATTTTTATGAGAAAGCGCACTTCAGAAAAATTTAACCATTTATTAAGGATAATGGCACTTTTAATTTCGTTTTCTCTTAAGTGTAGTCAGTAAATGAAAAAATTATGCAATTAAGAGAATAATTAAATTTTACTGTTAAAAAAATACTTGCTTCTAACTGGCTTTATTATAACAGCAAACATTACATATTCAATTCCGTGACTCCATTGAACTCACAGTTCAGAAATAAAATTAAAAATAAAACGGAGTTCGCTTATATACGGCCAATGTTATTTTCATGTAAACTACTGAAAAAATGGGATATGGGAACAAATAGAAAATATGGGAACAAATAGAAGAAAGAAATTTAAGAAAACTAATGTTTATTCACTGGCCAGGGTATCAATTAAGTGAATCTTTTGGATAATTTAGATTTGACATTTATTTTCCGTACCAAAGTCATCCACGCTAAGTCAGTCAGAGTAAACGTACATAACTACTTATCTTAAATAATGCTGCATATCACATAGGCTGGTTTTATTGGAAGTGTTGTTTTGTACAACAACAATGTTACTTACAAATGTGCTACTTTGCAAACCAATTTTTCATTCAAATTTCTTTTATTTTCTTCACTTTTATAATATTTTTCTTTGTTGGTTTTCTTCTAGGTATTCTTAATTTTTCTTTTAAAAATATAGAGATGTGAAACCGGTTATCTTGCCACGTCATTTTATAATTTATTTTAGTTTAAGTTTTATTCTGGTTTTTTTTGTTTTTCTTGTTTCTCATTATTCTTTTTCTTTTTATATTTTTAGAGAAAATTCTTTAATTTATTTTCGAGTATAAAAATTATTTTATCCTTGAGAAGTTTTTATATTAAATACACCCTGTCATATCTATTATAGAAAAAATATTGGTGTTGTGTGTGTATGAAACTGCGGTTTTACGTTTATGTATATTTATGTACATAATAATTGTGTATATTATTCGTGAAAAAATAATATAGAAGAAAATTTGCGGAACCGCGATATTTTATTTTTAGTATCCTGTGTTTTTGTTTTTTTGCTCTTTATTTCTTTAATTTTTATTTCTCTTTAATATTTCATATTGGTTTTTTTGGTTTTTTTAATGGATGTACACCGGTTTAGCATAACGTATATAATATATAAAATTTTTTAAGAATAAAATGTAAAATATTGCAATTAGCGTACAATAAAAGAGAAAATTTTTCAGATAGATAAATTTTAATTCATATTTTATGATAAAAATATTTTTAGTTTTTCGTTTCAATAGTTCTTAGTTAATTTTGCAAGTCTCGCTTATTTTTATTTTTTGTCTATATGTAAAATTAAATAGAAAGCATTAATAGAAACCTTATTGTAATTTACATTGAATTACAGGAAAAAAATAACATATGAAAATTTCTTTTTCAATGGACCAACTACAAAATGATTTTTTCATAAAGTTCAGACATTAATCTGATCGCTTATTGGTTTTATGACTAATATAATTTGGTTTCTTATAACATTCGAAATTCGCAGGTCATTATTCTTCTATTAATAACACAATTTTGATTTCGAACTTGTAAAGAATTTCTGTTTAATTTTCGAAATTCATATAAAATAACTTTATAATTCTATGATCATGCTTTCCTTATTTATAAAAACCTTTTTATGATTTCTTGGGTTGTTATATGAAAATGTTTGGGCCGAAGCAAATGGAACAGGAGGATCGAGTGCTGGAAATCAGACAAGAAAACCTCTTCATTTCTAGCCGTCTCTTAAAAGAACTAGGTGATTCTTGTGAGTTGGATTCCGCCTAGCATATTGCAGACTGGGATATATCACTAGCACAAATTCGGATAACATGTGCATCTTCATGATAAAGATGAGATAGCTTAGCATATTAAACAGTATTGCGAAGCATTGACTAGTAAACATTGGTTCACTTGTGTGTTAAATGCCACTTAAAAGGTGTTTCTACTGTAGCATGTCACAGAAAGTTTTTATGAGTGTGATGACTTGAGTCTTTAAGTTGGCCTCTGCCAATCCGTCAATTTAGACTGTATTTTACAAACCGTCTATATCCGTCTGTATTTTACAAACGAATTTAATGTAAAATAAATAATATAGTTTCAATACCTTGTTTACTGGTTTTAATGAGGAAACATAGGCTATATAAAATATATTTTTAAATAAACTAAGTGGCGAAATCTGTAAATGTTCATTTTAAATTTGTGTTTTTATTATATAAACCAAGAAACTATAACCTATTAACAAACAAAAAAAGCTAATTTCATTAAGAAAATGCTTCTTTAAATTTATAAAGAGGAAGATGCTATAAAAAGTTGAATTCAATTCAAGTTTTTTACGTAGCCTTCAGGCTATAAAACAATAGTGCCTAGAAATATTTTTTATATAAGACAAAGGAGAGCATAATAATAACTTCATATCATATAAGAATAATGGATTTTTGCCATTTAGAATAGAAAAGGAAACTTCAAGAGAGCAACATTCTTCTTCAATATTGTTATACTGTTTTGGATAGTAAATGCATTGTTCCAATGAAAATAGTAACTAAGAGACTGAAGTCTTCTAAGTAAAAAAAAGAAAAATTTAATAGCTTGTTATTATTATTTTTGTAGTAAAAATAACTATTTTAGTTGTGTTACAGGCTATTCTTTTCCTTGAAGAAATTATTTCCACGCATTTAAGAGTTTTCCAAATTTCCATAACACGACAAAGCTAACAGTAAATTCCATGCCATAAAAATAATAAAATTATTTACCACAACTCGTCAAATTTGACCATTAAATTAACGCCCTTTTTAATTTTCACCCTGTAGGCAATTATTTTTGACATATGAAATTTTTCATGTATTTTGATATTATGAAATTTTTGAAGCAGTAATGCTAAATTTATTTAATATTAATCTTTTATTTAATTTCAGGGCAATGGATTACCATTTACTGATTCAGATGTTTCAATTTTTGAAGCTTTTGCAATATTTTGTGGTCTTGGTATACATAATACTCAAATGTATGAAAATGCGTGTAAGTTAATGGCAAAACAAAAAGTTGCATTAGAATGTTTATCATATCATGCAACAGCAACACCTGAACAAACATCAAAATTAGTTTCGGATACAATAAGATCAGCTGAAGTGTATAATTTATATAGTTTTAAGTTTATCGGTAAGTAAATACGGGTAACAATGCGTTTTAAAATTTCTATTTTATTATTTTATATAGTTAAAGAATTATTGAAGTTAAAACTCTTGGGCGACAGTTCATTGCAATTTCTGCTCTTTTAAAACTGAAGCTAGTTTTAGAATATTAAAAAAAAAATTAGATTTAAAAAAATTCTATCTGACAAATATCCACAATTCCAAGCAGCTTGGAAGATGTTGAAGTTAGAGCAATATATTGGGACAACTTTTTTGCTACCGTTATCATTTCTTATTAAATCTACAATAATGTTTTAAATGCGCTCTTTTTATGCGTACTCAGTACCACAAATGCAAATTTCAAGAGCATTAAAATATTAAAATATAAAATTTTCGTAGATCTACCTCTAAGTTGCTGACATAAACATGAATAATTTTTCTCTAATTTGCAAATGAATAAAAATTCGTCGTTTTAAGAAAAAACTAAATCAAATTAATTTAATCATTCTTTTGAATCATTTCTATATCGCCAATTGTAGTAAGTTTTTTCTTAAAGCCACCAAAAACTGAAAATAAGAACAATGAACGAACATAATAAGAATGACGACATCATTATTTTTTTTCGTATTTAACTACTTACTTAATAGTTATCAGAAAATGAATTGTTAACTTACAATTGAAATTATTATTGGTTCTTGTTTTTTTCATATTCACACAGATTTTGATCTCAATGAAGATGATACATGTAGAGCTGCAATAAGAATGTTCCTTCAATGCAATTTAGTTCAACAATTTCACATACCTTATGACGTAAGTATAAATTTTTTTATATTCTTCATAAAGTCCTTTAATTCGCTTGAAAATACAAGAGCACTAATAGCTATAACTAAAAGTTTTTCGAATAAAATATTGTAAAAATTATTTCACAAAAAAAAATTTAAATTCAAAGCAAAAATGAAAAAAAATTGTTCTTTCCAGTTCTTTTTAAATTTTATTTTAAAAAAAAGTTTTCGAAATATATTTTCATTACTATTCAAGTTATTCCGACTGAAAATACAACAAGCATAAACTTTTCAGTCGATATGAACTGACGGAATTATACCCTGCATCTTGACAGTATAAAATTTTCTCATTGAAATATTTAGAATCAGCTTTCATAGTTGTATAGTATGATTACTTGAACTTGTCTAGCAATTCCACAAAAATCTTTAAAGATACGTCTGGGCCATAATTAGACAAATAATTGTCAAATATCATGAATCTAACTTTATTATTGTGCATCGGTATTAAACCAGCCATTCCACATAAACTTCAGGGATATGTGCGATCTGTAAATGGGCACACGACTGTCAAGTTTTATAAATTTAAATTTGATTAGTTTTTGGAGTATTATAGCATCTACCCGATCCCGTTGGCGGAATTCGTCTAGTCACAATTGGGTTCGGCCTTTGCCAGAAAAGAAACAGTTTGTGAAAGTTTGGTATTGTTTGCGTTATTTGTTTTTTTAAACAGTGTGCGATCAGACGGGCGGAATTAACGCAGATCCTAATTAACACAGAATTTTAAGCTCAGAACACTGAGCTAGATTATATATATAACGCAAATGACTCCTTCAAGTAGTTACAAACAACATATCAAAGTTGCAGGGTATAAAAAAAAATTAACTATAAAGGGATAATAAGTTGTACAATTCACAAAAATTTTCTAAATTAAATTTATTATAATTCAATTTTTGTTTTATATCCTTAATTTCTTGGAAAAATCGAAAATTAATAATAATTGCTTTTACATTTTCAAAATAAAATTTTTGTATTAATATTTTTAAATTTATTTTTACTTATTTTTTATTACTGTTATTATTATTATTATTTTAGGTATTATGCCGTTGGGTATTGAGTGTACGAAAAAATTATCGTCCCGTAAAATATCATAATTGGCGTCATGCATTAAATGTTGCTCAAACAATGTTTGCAATGATGAAAACTGGAAAAATGGAACGTTTTATGACAGATTTAGAAATTTTAGGTTTATTAGTTGCATGTTTCTGTCATGATTTAGATCATCGTGGTACAAATAATGCATTTCAAACAAAAACTGAAAGTCCTCTAGCAATATTATATACAACATCAACAATGGAACATCATCATTTCGATCAATGTGTTATGATATTAAATTCCGAAGGAAATAATATATTTCAGGTAAATGAAATTTTTTATTATTTATACGCGGTAACGGCAATATTACTCATTACATATTCACACACTCAATTTGCGGTAAAATATTACGGTATATACATACATGTATATAAAGAAAATTTTTTATTTATATTTATAAAGTAAAAACGTATAAAAGAAGAATAATTTTATTTTATATCGATTCTTTAATATTAAAATAAAACCATAATTTATCAAAAAGGATTATATATAAAACTAACGTCTACCTATGCATACGAGTATATACATAAATATTATAAACATTATTGCGTTTGTTTGTGTTGGTCAATAAATTTTTTTTTGTTTTCTTTCCGTTGATGCTTTTATAACATTATTATGTGTATACGGTAGAAATTTATTAAGGAAATTTTTTATTAAATTGAATATTTTATTTATGATTATTAGCTTTAGGAATTAATAAAATTCGAAATTTATAAAAATATTCTAATTGAAATGAGTAATGTAATCATTTATGACATACACTTTTTATCAAGTGAAATAATGTTATGAATTTTATTAAGGTTTTTAAATTAAGAAAAAATTTATTAATGTTTGATAATTTTGCTAACTTTTTATTTGAAGGACGAAAATGTAAAATAATGAAAAGTTATTAAAAAGGACACTTTACTATAAAAATATGGAAAAATAAATAAATATTGTACATTTTCCAACTTTTGAATACTATTTGTGCACTATTCATTTTTAATAATGGAGGTATTATGATGATACATATATTAAATTTTCAACACGGAAATATATTGCTTGATATTATGGAAGCATCAAGACATTATTTTTATCATAGAATGTGAGTTTGTCGCTCAGTCTGACCTTATGCATCTCAATTCTGACTTAAAAAATTTTCATGATCTCTTAATTTTATGGTTGTAAAAATAAATAAATTATTGATTAACTTTTGAGGTATATATCAAGTTATAGGCTTCATCTAATATTTTAACAGGCCGAGAATAACTTTTCAAGAAAATCAGGTATTCGCAACTCAATTTATATTGAACGCCACATTTTAATTTTCGATCACATCTTAGTTATATAAATAATTTAAGAATTTTTATGACATTAAATATTTTAATTTTTAATTTTAAAACTAACTAAAAAAATTTTTAGGAAACATGAAAGCTGGTCAAGCTTACAACTTACAAGTGTTGACTAAGAATCAATATTACAATTTAGATCACGAATATACGAAATATCTTGAAGGTTAACATATTTTTGGATTTTAATCAATGAAACTAACGAATAGATTTCAAGCTCCAGAAAATTATCCTCTACCAAGAGTCCAATTTATACAAACATTAACTAGAAATTTACCACTTTCTTAAAATTTTATGTAAGAATTTAGAAGATATTTTCATAATCTTGTCTTGTCCAAAAATTTTCTTAATTTTATCACTTATGTTCTATATGGATATTTTCGTATTGTATACATTCTAAAATAAGCATCTTATATTTACTTTAGAACTTTTAAGATAAAATTAATTTTATGAAAATTTTGTAGGTGAATTTTGTTCAAGTATTTTAATTAAATGTAGTTATTTTGAACTTCAAGGATATACGGTGAAATCGGATAACTAGAGCTTATATCAGAAGTAGTTTTATTCAAATATATTTTAGAATTCAAAAGTTTTTTATATCATATTTAATGTATAAGTTTTTGTCAGATCAATTTTTATTTCCTTGTGAATAATTTCAGAAATTTTTGTAATATTTTTGAAATTTGTTGAAATAAAACCATTAGAAAATATGAAGATATATTATGATAAGTTAATCAGAATTATTTAATAAAATTTTCTTAATATTTAAAGAAAAATCAAAAAAGATTTTATAATTAATATTAAGAAAGCTTAAAATTACATTTAATCTCCAAGTGTAATACTTATTTCAGTGAAAATTGTAGAGTTTTACTCTCATAATAAAATTTAATGTTGAAACAATAAAAACAATTTTAAGTCAAAATGTTACTCTTACAATTTCTTGATTTTTCTCTTTATATTGTCCACTATATAAGCACTTAAACATGGTTGTAAATTATAATATAATTTAAGTAATATTTGTATAAAAGTGTATGTTTAATAAAATTTATTTTTTGCCCATTAATATATTCCTAACAAAAATTTCTTCTTATGGAAATTAATATTACTTTATTATAGGGTACTAAAAAGATGAAATCATTAAAATAACAAAATATTATAAAAGTACAATTTTTAATATCTTGAGGATAACATATTTATGTAAAGATTAGAATTATGTATACTTATATATATACATATATATACATAAATTATATTACGTTATTAAAGGTATAAAAAGTGGTCATTAATCATATACGAAGAAAAAAAATTAAGGCTTTTTCTAATTTACAAATCTTATTATAGTATATAGAGACTTCATTTTCTATTATGTATATATATTTATGTATAAAAATTTGACAATTTATACGTACATCTATTACAGTTTTTGATTAATTATTCACTTATATATAGGGTTTTTGTTTTTCCTCAAAAAAATGAGGGAGGAAACTTTTGCTTATTTTGTACTTTCCTCTACATTCTACATTAAAATCGCAATTATTCCCGAATATTTTTTATCATAATATTGTAGCTATAAAAAAAATTTAATAATTAAAGCAAAAATAAAAGTATTTTATTAAATTTCAAGCACTATTTTTTAATTAACATTAGGGCCGATAAAAATCCTCTTTTAAAATATTTCGAGCGAATTATAAAAAGTAAATTTCAATTTTGAAAAAAATTGCATATATTTAGGATGAAATCAATGTTATGTGGTATAAAAATTTCTTTACGCGTGTAAGGACAATTTGCAGGATTATATTTTCAAAATTTTTGGTTTTGTTTTAATTATTGTTGAAAAATAAAGTTAATTTTTAATTTAATTTTTTTTTACATGAGTACATTACGTTATTTACGTTCTCTTATTCCAAGCCCATATGGCTTGCATATAAATTTTATGAAAGCGAGAACAATCAATAGTCTCGTTATATTTTTGTACTTATTTCCAAAACTTCTATTTTAAATTTAAAATAAAAAGGATTTTTGAAAATTTCCAAAATATTTTAATTAAATTTTATAGATTTTTCAAATTTTTACATAACAATAAGTTTTGAAGAATGAAATGTAACTATAAGTATGTAAAATATTTTAAGAATTTTATTAAATTAAAATTTTGTTATTTTTACTTTCTTGCCAATATAAAATAAATGCATAGGTAGGTTTAAATTTAGGTTAGTGTATGTTACCTTTATACCAATAATGTACCCTTTAAATTTTTAAAGCTCAATAATACAGTATTTGTACGTATGTATGAAATAAAACGTTTATATAAAATTTTATGAAAAAACAAAATTCATAATTTTCAATTTCGTATAAAGATTTTCTCACAAAGTTTTATAAAATATTTTTGAAATAAACTTATGAGATTATAATTTCTATGCAGCATACACATTTCACTTAAGGTTGCCAGAGGATCAATGGAATTTCTCAAGCTGTCTGTTGAAGTCTTTATTAAAATTGGAATAATAATTAACTTTATACTGTAAATATTGTCTAAGTAAATATAGTATGCCATATTAGTCGCCGGTGCCCCTTTCCATTAATAGAATCCGAAATTCTAGAATTAAAATTATAACTGTAAAGTTTTTTCACTTATACGAATACAGAAATAATTTAACTCAAATGGCGTTAATAAAATTGTACTAGTTCAAAATTATTTGCTTCATATTAAAATTTAATTCATTTTTACAAAATCAGAGGACAGCTAAAATAATTCCACTAACAGAGTTTTTCCTTGTTGTTAACATTCAATTTTTTCTTTTAATTAAATGTGTTTGTGAATCAATATTTATTTAATAATAAAATATAAAATGTGCATTATGCAATTTTATTATCAGATAATTTGTCACATAAATTTTTATAATAATTTCGTATTTACTTTATTTGTTTTCTAAGAGCATACAAATTTTGCTCCCTACGACATTACCAAACAGAAAATAAAATAGCAAAAAAAAAGAAGAAAAAAAAATTCTTATTTATTTTTACATTAACCTTTTTTAACATTATTTTGTTAAATATTTACATACATGTTACCCGATAGAATAAAATTCTTTAGTTTTAATATTATAACGTATAATATGTAGAACGGTAATGGTTATATGACAAAATAAAAACATTTATTCACCATACTAGATTAACTTTTACCCACCCCATTATATAATGTGTATATTTTAATAATATTTTTACTCTTGTTCACAACTGGTGTATGTTAAACATTTAGTTCCATTAAATTTTACATATTTACATGTACTAATATGTATATGGAAAATATATGTATGTACACATTATAATGATAAGTACAAGTAATGTAATATACTATATATAAATTAATATTGTAGTGTATGTAGTGTATACAATTTACTCTTACATATTTTTTTGATAAGTGAAATAAAACAAAAATCTCAATTATTTTATGGTGTCATGTTGAATGTAAATAATTTTTTTCTATAAACTTTTACGTCCCAGGCTTCAAATTCATTGATTATTGTTACAACCTAGTAAATCTAATTTTTTCTAATTATTACATGTAATAGTAGCGATATAATTAATACATATAAATGTATATCATCATTTTGATCCTTTTATTTTTTCTGTTTTTCACTATAATAGAGGAGTGACATTAGAAAGATTGGTTTTAGTTTCGAATAGCGGAAAAAACGTAATAAATCTATATGAAATTGAACTAAACTTAGTATTAAGTCATTTATATATGACTATGAATGCAAGGAATGTGTTTAAAAAATGTGACAATATTAAATTAATAGACCTTGTTAATTGTATGACACTCACTTATATCGTTTCACTTATTTATAATCGTGGCAATGCTCTTGACATTGTTATTACCATTAACATATGTGAAACAAAAATTGATGAAGAAAAATTTGATTTGGTTAAGCCCAT